TAACTTTACTTTTGGCTACTTTATTGGGTTCTTTTTGCTGCCACCCTTCCAATCCCCCAACATAAGGTAAGAGAGAAAGGTCAGAGGGGGAAAGGGGGTATTGAAATCATTAGACTACTTCTTAGGGTCGTCTTGTTCCTTGGGGCAAGTTTGATCTTCATCCTCGGGATTTCTCCGACTGGCAATCAGCAATCCGGCAATCCAGCCAGCCGCAAACAGCAAACAGCAGCCAGCAACAGCAACAATCAGCAACAAGCAGCAGCAGCAGCAGCAGGAGTAGCAGCTGCAGCACGGGCAGGGGCGGCAGCAGCAGCAGCAGCAGCAAGGAGAGCAGCAGCTCTTTGGAGGCTTTCGTGGCTCCGACATTTTTACAGCCTCGGAAGTGTCCGCGGAACTCCGAATGTAAACTGCCTTCAGCTGGCAAAATCACGCTCCTGCCAGAACACGACAGAGACAAATCAAAGTTAGCTGCGGTGGACACTAAAGCAGTCCCAAACCCTCCCACACCTGGGATTGAAACAAAAACATATTCACATAACATTTCTGTAGTTTTAAAGAAATCAAAAATCTCACTACACCACAAAAAGTACCTGGCCTGAGAGTGTGTTAAAGAGATCCTCCAGCTCCTTGGGACATCTGAAACTGCACCGTGCTGTAGAAGAGTCAGTCTGTGAGTCCTCGTCAGAGTGAGCAATTTCTAGCCCGCGCTTCTGGCTTGCTTTGCATTCTCACCCCACCCCTAGTCCATGGACTGTGACCCATCATTCAGAGAATGTGAAATACACACTCCTGGGTAAAATGCCTTTGTTTGCAACACTTGCGGGTCTTAGCTAAAGACCTATCAGCATGTGAGGATCTTGGGCAGTCCAAAGAGAAGTATGCAAAGAATGGTAGGACTATACAGATGAGGCACAACTGCAGAAACAGCACTTCCCTGAATGTGTGCCTAGTCAGCCCTTCCTCGTCTCTTCATCAAGTCCCCCCAGCTGCTTTTCTACCTTTGGGTTGCACTTTCTAGCCTCTTATCAACCATGTGTCTATACCAAATATTTTCAGACCCCCAAATTCCTAAACATCCTCCTCCCCCCCCCCCAATTGGAGCCTAGTATTGGATTACGCCTTGACCAAACTTGGTAAAGTAGTCCTCTGCCATCAACCCAGGAATTGTTTCTACAAGGTTTCGCTTTCTGTTATTATTAGGTTTTGAAAATCAGTGTACAAAGCAGCAGATTTTATTGAGTCATTTTCATATGCACTTGGTTTTATTGATCCTCTTCTCCCACTTGCCTGCCTCCTCCCTTGGTCCCCTTCTTCCCCCAGTAGACCCTCTGCATGGTTTTCTGAAATGTGTTTCAGAGTTGGAAAGTTTGGAGAAGCAAAATCCAAAAGCATGAATTAAGTGTGAAATTAATGATTGGTTAGGGAGGTCTCTGATATTTCCTTATACTGGTTAAGGTAACAAATGCACTATCTCCTATAGCAGATAAAACACGACACAACTCAAAAACAAACAAACAAATAACCCCGGGCAGTGATGGCACACTGCCAGTACTCGGGAGGCAGAGGCAGGCAGATTTCTGAGTTTGAGGCCAGCCTGGTTTACAGAGCAAGTTTCAGAACTACACAGAGAAACCCCGTCTCAAAAAAAATAAAAATAAAAATCAGAAAAAAAAAGATAGAACTTCACTGGGGTACAACAATAGATGTTTAATTCTTCCTCTGTAAAACCAGATTTAATAGTCTTGCCTGCCAGTGAATGCCTCACTTTCTCTAGACCACCTCAGTATTTCTCCCCATTTATAAGGCAGAAAGAAAAACAGACTATTAAGATGGCACAACCATTGTAAGGGAGAAGTCATGTAGTAATTTTGGTGCTTCAGTAGTCGCCTGCATGAAAGCAGTGTGGTGAGCATCGACAACCATAATCTGTTGCTAAGCACCTGCTCCTAGCAACCATCTCGTGCCATAGCAATGACAAGTGAATTTTAGAGACTGAGCTATCTCAGATATGCCACCTTTCTTTTTCAAATAAACGATTTCCAAATAAATCATAGCTAGAAATAAAATTTCAGATCTTATCATGAAGCAATATTTCTTCAAAATAAATTGGAAACGTATTCTTCTATTGTCTGGATATTTGGCCCTAAATGTAAAACAGGCTGGCCTCAAACACAAAGGTCCTGCTGCCTCTGCCTCCCGAGTGCTGGGATTAAAGGTGTGCACCACCATGCTGGACTGAACACTAGACCTTTGCATATAAATAATGCTCTCTCATTTACACAAGAGTCTCTCTTCTTCTGACCTGCAGCCTCTGATTTTCTCCAGATTTCAGTCTTGATCTTGTTCAAAGTCACTCATTATAGACCATCCTTTCCCATCAGATATATGGACACTCTAGGGCTACATGAAGATTTCCTAGGGAAAGATGTACTAGGGGAACATCCCCAGCAGAATCTACCTAAATAGTCCTCAGACATTATTTCTTCTCCCAAGGATTCCTTTCCCACCTCCAGTGATCCTCCTCTTCTTCACTATCCACACCACTTCTCAAACAGCCCCACCAGCAGGCAGTTACCCAGTTCCTCAAAACCCCTCTACTTGCTCTTGCTGGGACATTTCAACTTCTTTTCCTTCTTCCTATCTACATGTATGCTCTATCCACTACTGAATACTCTCTTCAGAACTGGGATCATTCATTAATTTTATTGAAGTTGATAACTTTGCAGTAAGTAATCTTCCCACCAACAAAACAAAGAAGAAACTTTAAAAAAAATGGTCTGTTAAGTGGGACTTAGTCCTCTCACAAAGCTACATTGTGTTTGATCTGATTTCTTAACATAAACATCATGGAATTCTATCAGCTCGTTTGTAGGGGACTACTGCGTCTGAGGGAGTCTATTGTAAAAGTCATTAAACTAGACATTGTCAGGTGAAAAACCGGGAGGGGACACACATTATGGATCGAGAGAAATGTAAAATACATATGACATATTTTTGCTGAGAGCTGGTCAGCCAAGGTGCCTCTCTCTTTCCAAGTGACCTTCACTGCCTTACACTTGAAACTGGTCACCCCACGCAAGGAAATAATATGGACGGACAGTGGTTTAGTGGTTTACTCCAGCTTTCAGAATCAGATGGCTACACAGTTCCAGTAGGTAAAACAACTCTAGGTTGGGACACATTTAATGTCTTACTTAATGGATGAATTAACTAATGCCATGCTGGGGACCAAACTCAGCTTGTATGTATGTTAGGCAAGAAAAGAGCACATGAGCCAGCACGTAAAGGAACATACTGGGCTTGCACAACAAACATTCCCCTGGCCGCATTCTTTCCTGTTGACGGTCAAAAGAGCATTCCTATGATCCGGCTCTCCCCAAACTGCCATAAAAACAGGAGATTTCGGGAAATGTCCACAAAGGAGAAAAAGACCAGTAAATCTCCCTCTAGAAACTGGATTAGTTCGGTGATAAGGTAGGGTTCCAAAGGGCTATTAGATAAGAGGCTAACCTAACTAAAATAAGCAACTCTTTTCAACTCCACATTCCACTGAAGTACACCATTGGTAGCTTGGCCTGGGCCTTTGTAGGAATATGCACACCATGAAAATGAGCAACTAATATAAATTACGATTTTCTTCCTAAGAGTGGACACCTACTGCTACTAGAAAAAAAGAAAAGAAAAGAATTAGGCATGGCAGCACTTTTAATCCCAGCCTAGGCAGACTGATGTTTGTGAGTTTGAAGTCAGCCTGGTCTACAAAGTGACTTCCAGGACTCGATTTCCAGCACCAGAGAAATCCTGTGTTGAAAAACCAGAAAGAGGGAGGGAGGG